CACCAGGGCCAGGATCAATGTCAGGGCTGAGACCAGCACCAGGACCAGAACCAGGAACAGGATCAGAATCAGGGCTGGGACCATCCCTATGGCTGGGATCTGGGCCAGGACCAGCACGGGGGCCAGGACCAGCACCTGGGCAAGGATCTACATCAGGGCTGAGATCAGCACCAGGGCCAGGACTAGCACCAGAACCAGCACTAGGGCCAGGACCAGGGCCAGGATCTGCATCAGGGCTGGGTTCAGCACCAGTATCATAGCCGGGGCCAGCACCAGGGCATGGAATTAACAGCAGGGCCAGGATCAGCAACAGGATCAGGCCCAGTACGGGATCCGGGCTGGGATGGAGACAAGGACTGGGACCATCATCAGGGCAATGATGACGCCTGGGAGCAGCACCAGGGATGGGATGAGGACACCAGGACCAGCAGCAGGAGGAGGATCAGGGCTGCCACTGCGATGAGGAATGGAGCTGGGATCAGCAGCAGGGCCAAGACCAGAGTCAGCACTGGAACCACAGCCAGGAGCAGGGCCAGTGTCAGGACCAGCACTGGGATAGGGGCGAGGACTGGGCCCAGCATCATGGGCAGGATCAGGCCTGGGAGCAGTCTGAAAAATGTCAGGGTCAGCACCAGGATGAAGCCCTGGGCTGGACTGGGGCCACACCAGGAGCAGGACTGGGGCCAGCACTGGCACCAGGACCAGCATCAGAGCCAGGATCAGGCCTGGGAGCAGCAGCTGGGCCAGAATCAGGACCAGGATTGGGATCAGAACCTGGATGGGACCCAGGCCTGGTATGGGGATGGGACTGGGGCTGGGCCCAGAGCAGGGCCAGGATCAGACCAATATCAGGACTGGCAGTGAAATGGGGATGGGGGCACCACTGGGATCAGCACCAGGATGGGCCCGGGGCTGGGATGGGGATGGGGACTGGGATGGGAATGAAGACCAGCACTGGGAATAGTGCCAGGATGGGCCCAGGGGTGGGATGGGGATGGTGGCTGGGATAGGGATGAAGACCAGACTAGGAATAGTGCCAGGATGGGCCCAGGGCTGGAATGGAGATGGGGACTGGGATGGGGATGAGGACCAGCACTGGGATCAGCACCAGGATGGGCCCAGGGCTGGAATGGAGATGGGGACTGGGATGGGGATGAGGACCAGCACTGGGAATAGTGCCAGGATGAGCCTAGGGGTGGGATGGGGATGGGGACTGGGACTGGGATGAATACCAGCACTGGGATCAGCACCAGGATGGACCCAGGGGTGGGATGGGGACTGGGATGGGGATGGGGACCAGCACTGGGAATAGTGCCAGGATGGGCCCAGGGCTGGGATGGAGATGAGGACGGGGATGGGTGTGGGATTGGAACTGGGATGGAGACGGACATGGGGGCCAGGATGGAGATGGGGACTGGGGCTGGACCCACATCGGGGCCCGAACTGGCCCCGCCACTGCGACCAGCGCCAGGACCGGGCTGGCCACCGAGATCGGGGCCGGGATGCGGCCGCCCTCCCCGCAGCCGCTGCTCCCGGCTCGGTCACGGCTCGGTGTGGGGGGGTCCCGGTGACGGACTGCCCTCCCGGGGGTCGCTGCGGTGAGTCGGGGTGCGGGTCCGCTGCCCGCCCACCCCTCAAGGGCATCGCCCTCCCCCCCCGCCGGTCCCCGCCGCGTTGCCACGGCGACCCGGTCCCGGAGGAGCCCCGTCCGCCCCCCGCCGCCACCGCGGCCGCTCACGCTGATGCGGACGAGCGCGTCCATGATGGAGGTGAAGGTCTGCAGGTCCTCGCCCTCGGCCATGGCTCCGCTACCCGCGCCCGTGCCTGCGGCGGCGGCAGCAGCGGCGGCGGCGGCAGCAGCGGCGGCCGCGATCGCCCCGGTGCGTTGCAGGGAGCGGCGGAGCCGGGGGGAGGGCGGGGGGCGGCGGCGCGCATGCTCGGCGGCGCCCTCCCCGCCGGCACCGGAGGGCGGTGGAGACACCGGAGGGGCGGCACCGGTGTGGTGGGCAGGGGGGCGGGGAGCGCGGGGATGCTCTGGGTGCACCCCCGGGCATCCCCCGACGAGCCACGCTCGGGGAGCGGCGCCGGGGGCGGGCTGCGGGCAGGATGAGCATGGCACCGGTACCGGCGGTGCTCCCGGGGTCGCTGCCGGTGCCGGTGTCCCGTGCCCGCGCTGTTCCCGTCCCCGCCGCCAGAGGGCGCTCCGGGGGCGGCGTGGAGCTGCAGTGCCGCTCCCGGCCGCCGGGGGGCGCGCGCTGGGAGGGGCGGGGCCGCGCCCCTCGCGCACGCGCAGTGGCGCTGCCGCCGTGGCCCCGCCGCGCGGCGGGCGGAGCGCGCGTGCGCGGAACGGCGGCACCGGGAGCGGACCGGGACGGGCCGGGGGCACCATGGGTAACGGGGGGGGGGGGGGGGGGGGCCGAGGGATTTTTGGTGTGTTTTGTAGGGGGGGGGGAAACGGGGAATTTGATGGGAAAAACGGGAATTCTGAGGCGAGGAATGGTAGGGAGGGGA